TTTTATTTCCTGTGGGAGGGGCCATTCATCGTCCACCTGTGGCCTTACTCCCAAATCGACCCCTGTTCTGTAGCTGTTCCCTTTTTCTGGCAACTGTGCACACACTGGGAACAGGCTCCAGTTGTTCGTCTGCCTCACTAAAGTCTGACTCTGAAGGCAGCTGATAACTAGCATACGGCTCTGGCCCCCTCTCTGCCTCTGACAGAGAGCCCTCATCAGAGCCTTTCCCAGACTCCAGGACTGGCCCATGTTCCTCCTCAACCTCCTCATTGCCCAAATCTGCTGCCAGCTCCTCTGGCCGCAGGTGGGCCACAATACTTTTAGGAATGAAGGCAAATATACACATCATCCCAGGACAACGTTGCAGGATACAATCTGGGTGCTGGAGCCCATCCTCAGGGAATGTCTCTCTACCAGAATGTGTGTTAGTATGCATAGAACAACCCAAAGCCAACAGTCTGATAGAGAGAAGTTGAGAACAAGTCCGAAAACTCAGAAAACTAAACTTTTGGTCCCGGTGACAGATCCAGATTGGATCCTGTGGACTTTTTTTAAAATTGAATAACATTTTCTACCATCTTTTCCTATTGACTCTCTTCATTAAGGCTGTTAGAAGTTGTACTTCAACAAAACTGGTAGGCCAGAGGTTCTCTTGACCTGGTGATAAAATGCAGCCACTTAAGTCATTAAAAAAGAAAAGCAGTCCCAAGGGATAAGTATATTTGTGTGAACCCAATTAAGGGTTTCCTTTAGTGGCTTATAACTGCTGGAAATGGAGAAATAAATCCAGCAACGTAAACCTATTGATATATCCAATGATGTGTTGCAAACCACGCAACCATCCACCTACTATAGGTTCGTGCTATTTGATTGCATCTGTTCGTTGTTCACACACATAATTGCACTGGAATGTAATCTTCCATTCCACAGGAGTAGCCGTGTCATAATGAATGGGTGTAGAGATGACTAAGTATATGGAGGAAATCTCACGCTAGGAGGAATGGGGAAGTGGTATGAAGGAGAGAGAAAGAGATTGGTCATTTACAATCCACCAATGGCTTCTTTTTTTCCCTCTAAAATTTTCAGTTACAAATGAGTGAGTAAATGAGTGAATGAAGGGGGAAAGTGACATGTTGCTGAGCAGAGCAAATATCTCTCAAGCAAAATCTTTATTTACAACTAGTTGGTAACCTGGCATTGCCCGGGTATTTATTTATCCTAATCCTGCATTATACAGGAAAAGCCCTGATTTCTTTGACAATTAAATTAGTTACAAATGTTTTCCCTGTGTCCCCAGAAGCGTCAAGGAAAGTAATACCACCTTGATGTTTTGCTAGCTGATCCATGATCATTTGGTATGCTTTTTTCTGATCTTGATTTATCCTCAAAAATAATCAAAGCCTTGTTGAAAATGTCCGGACCAAACGTAATTTCTAATGTTGGATTTTCCCCCTTATCAGAGGGAGCCCCCTTGTGGAGTACTGAGTTACCATGGCAACTCTGCTGCACTGCACAGTAGAAGCCATTTTATGGCAGTACGGTAGAAGCCATTTTAAGGCACAACAGGCTGTATCTTAACAGAACACCCTCACACAAAGGCTGTTAGAGCTGTCTTACCCCCACAGCATTTGTTTCCAGAAAGTAAGTCATCTGTGTACCAAGTTTGGTTGAAATTGCTTGAGGCGTTCCAGAGTTATGCTGGAACATACACATACAGCCATTTTTATATATAAAAGTAGATAATGCCTCTGGATCCCACATAAGTATTGTTAAGAAATAAAAATAGTCAGAGGTAAAGTAAGGCTTTGACTTATAACAGTTCATTTAGTGACCATTCAAAGTTACAATAGCATTGAAAAAAGTGTCTTATGACCATTTTTCACACAAGTGACCTTTGCAGCATCCCCATGGTCCGGTAATCAAGATTCAGATCTTACCAACAGACTCATATTTATGATGGCTGCAGCGTCCTCGAGTCATGAACTCCCCTTTTGCGATCTCCTGACGAGCAAAGTCAATGGGGAAACCATAATCACCTGTGTCAGTTGTAATTTAACAACTGCAATGATTTACTTAAAAACTGTGGCAAAAAAGTTCACAAAATGGGACAAAATTCACTTACCATATTTTTCAGAGTATAAGACGGACTTTTTTCTCTCAAAAAAGAGGGTGAAAATCTGGGTGCATCTTATACACTGAATACAGCAGTTTTGGTCTCCCGAAATCCCGCCCCCTTCACCAAAATGGCCGTGCATAGCTTTTAGGAGGCTTCCAGAGTGCTACTGAGGGCTGGGGAGGGCAGAAAAATGGACTGTTTTTTGGTCCTTTCTCCCCCCCCAATAGCTCCCAGGAGCACTCTATAAGCCTCCTAAAGGCTATTTGTGCCCTTTTTTGTGACAAAAAATGGGCCCGTTTTTGCAAAAAATGGGCCGTTTTTGGGAGGTCTGCAGAGTACAAAAACTTTTTTTTTAATTTGCCTCTTCAAAATCTTGGTGTCTCTTATACTCTGGTGCGTCTTATACTCTGAAAAATATGGTAACAACTATTTTGCTTAGCAACACAACGTATGGTCTCAATTGTGGTTGTAAGTTGAGCGCTTCCTGTATTGGAATCCTGTCCTATATCCAAAAGGAAGAAACTATGCTTGTGTAGAGGTATACAGAGATGATCTTGTGTAGAGGCGTTTAGAAAAAATAGTTGGTAACTGCTGGAAATACACAAAATTAGCTCAGGAAAACAGGAAAGTGTGAGAAAGAAACTCAAGGTGGTTCCTCCTTGATTCTCTTTGCTATAACAGGGAGGGAAGGAGAAATCTGTCAGGCTTTCAAAATCCTTTTATTATAGTCTATATCGATAAAGGTAGAGTTCTGGAATTTCTTGTGGTATTTGTTTCCTGATTTGATCTACTTCAAAGGGCTGACAGCTTGTATGAGAGAGAACCCGAAGAATTAAAAGGAGTGCTAGATCAACATTCCTCAGTTGATGTTCTGGCCTCTATGCTGGCTATTTTTATAAATAGGCAGTGTATTTTGTAATCGCATCTCTCAACATTGTAGCATCAATCTCCATTTGTTTATAATGCTTGGTAAGACCACACTTGGAATACTGCATCCAGTTTTGGTTGCCACGTTATAAAAAAAGATGTTGAGACTCTAGAAAGAATGCAGAGAAAAGCAACAAAGATGATTAAGGTGTTGGAAGCTAAAACATGCAGGAATAGGTATGTCTAGTGTAATGAAAAGACTAGGGGTGACATGATAGCAGTATTCCAATATTGAGACTGTGACAAAGAAGAGGGAGTCAACCTATTCTCCAAAGCATCTGAAGGCAGGACAAGAAGCAATGGATGAAAACTAATCAAGGACAGAAGCAACCTAGAACTAAAGAAAAACGTCTTGCCTGTTAGAATAATTTATCAGTGGAATGACTTGCCTCCAGAAGTTATGGTTGCTCTAACACTGGAGATTTTTTTTTAGAAGAGATTGGACAACCATTTGTCTGAAATGGTATAGGGTTTCCTGTCTGACCAGGGGGTTGGATTATAAAACCTCCAAGGTCCCTTCCAACTCTGTTATTCTGTTATGTCTGAAGGTAAGAGGAAAGGATTCTATTCAAGGCAATCCTGTGCTGGTTCACACAACCAGAGTAATCTGTGCTTTTCCTACTAAACCTGGATTCCTACTGTGATTAAGGCTCTTCTCTTTTGGGGCGGGTTTTGATTCAAGAGCCAGATCTGTGCAACACATCTGCCACCTTATGTAAAAATGCCTGATGGATGATGAAAGGAGTTGAGGATCTTTTCTCTACCAACAAGATGACTCATTGGCTTGAGTCACCCAAAATCATTTTCTCTAAATACTGTTAGATGGGATTATGAAACATCCTTATCCAGTCAGTACAACATAAAAGGGAAACAGACTTGCTGCTCTTTTAACCTCATCTAACTTCGCATATCCTCAATGTCAATTTTAGAGCTCCTGAAATTTCTTCTGCTTTGTTGGAAACTCTTGGCTCTGGAGTTGAGTTGACATGTCTTCAACTCAATTACATCTAACCATAGGTCAAGCATTCCCGACAACCTCTATATTTGCCTTATTAGAAAACCAATTTAGTGTAGTAATTAAGGCACCAGGCTAGAAACTAGGAGACCATGAGTTCTAGTCCCATCTTGGCATGAGAGTCAGCTGGGTGACTTTGGGCCAGTCACTTTCTCTCTCAGCCCAACCCACCTCACAGGAGGAAAATAGGAGGGAGTATCAGGTATATTTCCTGCTTTGAGTTTGAGAATCAGAATCGAGCTGGAAAGGACTTTGGAGGTCTTCTAGTCCACCCCCCTGCTTCAAGCAGGAGATCCTATCCATTTTAGACAAGTGACTGTCCAGTCTCTTCTTAAAAACTTCCAATGATGAAGCACCCACAATTTCTAAAGGCAAGCTGTTCCACTGGTTAATTGTCCTCACTGTTAGGAATTTATTCCTTAATTCCAGGTTGCTTCTCTCCTTGATTAGTTTACATCCATAGTTTCTTGTCCTGCCTTCTGCTGCTTTGGAAAATAAGTTAACCCCTCCTCTTTGTGGCAGCCCCTCATATCCTAGAATAGTGCTTTCATGTCACTCCTAGCCCTTCTTTTCTCTAGACTGGCTATACCCAGTTCCTGCAACCGTTCTTCATATGTTTTAGTCTCCAGGCCTTTAATCAACTTAGTTGCTCGTCTTTTGCACTTTTCCCACTTCTTTACAAAATTAACAGTTATTTATAAAAATAGAGAAAAACAAAAGGCTGACAAACTGCAGGCATTTTCTTCACCGCAGCGCGCGCAGCAAATCCGACAGCTCTTAAAGAGTAATAGAGACAACTAACTCTTCCTTGCACAGAGCGCACCAAAAAGAAAAAAAAAGAAATTATGGTGGCGGCTCCTTTAAGAAAAACTTCCTGTTTCCGGTTCACTTCCGGTTGCTCCTGAAGTCACTATTTCTGTCGCCTTCCGTAAGACAGACGTTCCCAACACGCATGCGCAGCCCGGGAAGTTCTTTCTTTCTCTTTTTCCCCTAGACTCTTCCCTCCCCTAGTTCTGCGAGTTGATCCACGCGATATCTTTGATTCTGCAGCGGGCAGCGGGCAGCGCGAAATATGGTGAGCTCAGCGCGGGGTTTTAATCGCTTATTTTGGAGATGCCTGGGTGACTCCGTCTTTGCAGTTGGAAATCACGTGTGAATCCGATTTTGCAACCCGGTAAACCTGTGTTAGGCATTGTTAGCTGGGATCATAACAACAGGGGCTCGTAGCGCCAAATCCTGAACGAGGACGTATTTATCCGCAGGTGCTCAAATCGCCAATGTTTTTTATTTCTTTCTTGAGCCCATAAAAACCGAAATGTTAATTGAATGTCTACTTTTTAAAAAGGATCTGTTTTTTAAGGTGATAGGTCGGGTGTACTGCATGCACATGTAACACGTGGGTGTACATATGTAGGGCATGCATTCAAAAGTTAAAAATAATTAATCTTGTATCTTCCCTGATGCAAACTAAGAATATAGCCCTTGGGAACTGCTTACAGGAAGGGGAGAGAATTTCTGCTACAGAATTTTTTTCCCCAAAGGGGAAAAAATAATCAAGAAAGTCCAGTTGCCTTTTGGAAAAAAGCATCTTTGGGACAACCATGACATGGATGACTCTCCGTAGACATGATATGCCACATAAGGCATTGTTTGTCAACTTTTGAGATGTGTGGCCTTCAACTCCCAGAATTCCGCAACCAGCATGGGAATTCTGGGAGTTGAAATCCACACACCTTAAAAGTGGCTGAAGTTGAGAACAGCTGCTGAAATGCACAACAAGCTGAGTGTTTGCTAATTATGACGTGTTCTTTATTTTAATGAGGATTTGCACAAGTTTGGGCACATGTAGTTTCTGCTCAATACTGCTGTAGTATTTATTGGGGGTTTAGAGTAGTGTAAGATTATACTATTTTGGGGTGTGTGTGAAACAGGAATATATATGCTTTGCACTAGATTGTGAAATGCTTCTTAAAACTTGCTTTATGTTCATTTATGTCCCTTTATCCTCAGCTTTTCTATTCCTTCTTCAAATCCCTGGTAGGGAAGGACGTCGTAGTGGAATTGAAGAATGATTTGAGGTATGTTTTTATTCACAGCTGTTTGGCTGGAAATGAATCCTGGTTTCTTTATGACCCTTGTCTTGCAGTTTCTGGCTGCTTTCTCCCTAATAAACCCACCAATTTTAGCTTTCATTCCTTCTTTATTCAATTCACAAAATACTGTTGTGTTTTTAAAGAACCCTTGTCACCTTAATTCTGAATTGTCTTTCCTATTGTGTTTTTGTAGCATCTGTGGGACCTTACATTCTGTAGATCAGGTATGAATCAACCCTAAACTTTTTTTTGCAACCCTTCTAAAGAATAAAGCTGTTTTGCATTCTGTCTAAGTAAGTCTGTGTTGTTTAAACCACTAATTTCCTATATCTGAAATATTTCTACACCTTTGCTGTACACAGTCATCCTTCAGCGTATTTCGTTTTGTATTCGTTCTTTGCAGTAGTTTAGGGCAGCAAACAAATTTGTTTTATCCCCACTCACATTAAAAAGAAATCAGGGCACCATCCGCTACCTTTGCTCCTCTCAGATGTAGTAACTTATGAACAGTGCCACAATTAATTAAAACATCTGTGAGATTGTCAACAGGTAGGTTTAATCCCCACTGAGGTGAAAAGAAACTAGTGATGATGTTGGATAGACAGCCTTGAATATCTTGCTTTTTTGCTGAACTTTTTCTTTCTTCCCTGATCCCATAGTACCTGAATATCAAGCTCACGGATATTAGTGTGACAGATCCAGAAAAATATCCTCATATGGTGAGTTCTCATCTAATGACCATGGCAGGATTTGAAAAATATGGATAAATGCTAAGATGATAATCTTAGAGCTGAGGTGGCGCAGTGGTTAGGGTGCAGTACTGCAGGCCACTTCAGCTGACAGTTATCTACAGTTCAGCGGTTCTAATCTCACCGGCTCAAGGTTGACTCAGCCTTCCATCCTTCCGAGGTGGGTGAAATGAGGACCCAGACTGTGGGGGCGATATGATGACTCTGTAAACCCCTTAGAGAGGGCTGAAAGCCCTATGATCCAGCCCCACTCTTAACAGTACGCATGGTGTGAAATTTTAACCATTATATTCTTATCTTTAATTTTCTATATATGTTTTTGTCTTGTCTGTAAGCCGCCCAGAGTCCCGAGGGAGTGGGCGGCATACAAATGTCAATAAATTCAAATTCAAATAAATTCAAATTCTATGAAGCGGTATATAAATCTAACTGCTATTGCTATTGCTATAATGGTTTATTGGCTTTTTATTTTAACCAAGAAGGCCTTACCGCACATATCTATTAAGGGATAATAAGATAAAATAAGATCACTTTTATTGTCATAAATAGCCCACATTAAAAATGAAATTCTGTTGCCTGCTCTTCAAGAGAAAATGTATATCTCCCCAAACTCAAACAAAAATATACACATGCTATATACATACATGAGGGACGCGGTGGCTCAGTGGCTAAGATGCTGAGCTTGTTGACCAGAAAGGTTGGCAATTTGTGGCGGTTCAAATCTCTAGAGCCGCGTAACGGAGTGAGCTCCCGTTACTTGTCCCAGCTTCTGCCAACCTAGCAGTTCGAAAACACGTTAAAAGTTTCCTAGAAAAATAGGAAATATCGTTGGTAGGAAGGTAACAGCGTTCCGTGCGCCTTTGGCATTGAGTCATGCCAGCCATATGACCACAGAGACATCTTCTGACAGCACTGGCTCTTTGGCCTAGAAACGGAGATGAGTACCCCCTCCCCTAGAGTCAGGAATGACTAGCACATATGTGCGAGGGGAACCTTTACCTTATATATTAATTGCTGTCCATTAGAATATGTAGCGAAAAGAGGAAACTTGAGAGTTCACAAGGTTGATGCTATATGAAACAAGATTAAATCTGGATGTATTACTTTTTAATATATTTTTACCCATAGCTTTTCTTGATCTATTTTAACTATCCTGTTTTCAACTTTATAATCAGTGATTTTGAATGTAAAATTAAAAGAGCAGCATGACCATTGTGTGAATATTGCAGTGTGAGCAAACTTGAGGTACCTAATTGAAATTGAGTAGTCCCATTTCATTAATGGTTCCCAGTCATTTATTCATTCTTTATTTAGTCAACTTACATGACCCCCATCTTACAAATATGACCCTTGGTGACCCAACAGGCACATTATAAACAATGCAGAAATATTCAATGTAACACAAAAAATCAATAATGGCCAAGAACAAACTCAATAATTATAGATAATCTTCAACTTAACCATTCTTTTAGTGGCCGAAATAACAACGACACTGAAAAAAGTGACTTAGTATTGTTTTTCACAATGGCCAGTGCAGCATCTTCATAATCAAGTGATAAAAATTCAGACGCTTGGCAACTGTCTCATATTTATGACAGTTGCAGTATCCCAGAGTTATGTGATCATCTTTTGCGACAGGCAAAGTCAGTGGGAAAGCCACTTAACCAACTGTGTTACTAACTTAACAACTGTGGCAAGAAAAGTCATAAAATGGGGGCAAAACTCACTCAACAAATTTCTCACCTACCAACATAAATTTTGGGCTCATTTGTGGGTCATAAGTTGAGGACTGCCTGGACCTGGCTGCCTGAATAGCCGGACTTTAAACAGATTGATCCTTTCGTTGACCTCTAATCAGAGGTGGTATTCAGCCAGCGCTCTCTGGTTTGGGCGAACTGGTAGTAGCGGGTTTGGGAGGCTCCGCCCACTGGGCATGCGCTCACATTTGGGAACCGGGAGGGAAGGTAAGTGAGTCCCACCTTTGCCTCCAATGCTCTTCTCCATTTCTCTTCAGTTGTCCGTCAAGAATTGCTTCATTCGTGGCTCTGTTGTCCGCTACGTCCAGCTTCCAGCCGACGAGGTGGACACTCAACTCTTGCAAGATGCTGCTCGCAAGGAAGCCCTCCAGCAGAAACAGTGATGAATTTTTATTTGTTTTATTCTCCCTGTGTGACTTGACCTTCCTTGAAGAAGAGCTGCAGAATGGTAGAAGGTCACGTTATCTCTCTGTGTGTGGAAATACCAGCAAAGTTAGCATTGTAAATATGGCCATCTGTCTTCCTTGGATACCGACGAGGCTTCCACTTGCTAATGTTTGTTCCTTTGTTATGCAGCATCCATCCATAAAGATGTTCACACCAACCTCCTCCATCTCTTAGGACTTGCTGGAGAGGAAGGTTGGTGAGCACTAAATTGAAGAAGAAATATTTTGGTCATCCCTTTCTGATTTAAAACCAGTAATAAAATCCTTCCATTATCAGTCCTCTTCCTTGCTCTCTTCAGCATTCAGTGAATGGCGTTGTTGTGTAGTAGAAAAGTCCAATTTTGGTCGAGGATTGATAGTCAGCCATGAAAATATTATTATTGCTGTAGCTTATTTGCCCTGCAAAGTGCCCTAAACATGGTTTTCTTCATGTATTACCAGCCCTTTCTAATTTCCTTTTGTTCCAATGCAGCACAGCTAATGCTAGTGTGATTTTTTTTTCCCATGTTGGTGTACTTCCTATTTATAGGATTTGAAGCTATGCTTTCTTTGGAATTTCAGCAGGTTAGAAAGAACCTGCAAACTCCCAAGTATGGAGAGTGTTCCATTTTATTTTTGTTATACACACAATATAAATACCCTTCAGTTTCAATCTAAGCTTTCTTTGTTGCAATATAAAATGGCGGCTGTGTTTTCTCCGGCCATTAGAAAAAGTTGTAGGTTGAGCCCTGCTCTTTTTGAGTTTTTTTTTTAACATATCACTTGTTTTGTTGTTGCCTTTTGTATTTGTTGTTCTCATTTTATGGGCTAATGCACGTGTTTTTTAGGAATACTTTTTGAAAGCATAATGATTTGTTGAACAGAAAATGGACAATTAAAAGTTTGATTTGAAAGATAGAATTGGTTGTGGGCTACCATGTTGTTGTTTTTTTTGTTTTTTTTAAGTGTATGTACAGCTTGTGTCTCTTAAGTGGGAGGGCAACAGCACGTGGCTTTTAAAGTCCTGGACTCACAACCACAATTGAACTCAAAACTTCCATTGCTAAGCAAAGCAGGCGGGTTTTGCCCTATTTTACAACCTTCCTTGCCACAGTTGTTAAGTGAGTCACTGCAGTTCGGTTAGGAACACGCTTGTTAAGTGAATCTGGCTTCCACATTGATTTTGCTTGGCAGAAGATCACAAAAGGGATAAGGTGACCCTGGGGCACTTGCAACCGTCATAAATACCTGCCAGTTGCCAAGCTTCCAAATTTTGATCACACAACACGGTGATGCTGCAACAACCGTGTGAGAAACGGTCGTACATCACTTTTTCCAGTGCCGTTGTAACTTCAAATGGACATTAAATGAATGGTCATAAGTCGAGGACTATCTGTATCTTCTAGATTAGAGTCCCTAGCTTAAATAGAGTGGGCATATTGGGTAACACTGGCTTTGCTGCTTTTATGGCCATATTACATCATACTTTACTTCTAACATTAACATCAGCAAGGAATGTTACATAAGGCATGGGAATGACTAAGACTGAAGACAAAGTCTTTGTTTAAAAGCATTATCTGAAAACCTTGAGGGACCAAAATCATGTGTGGGCAGCTCAGATGAATACTTTTGGGCTGATTTGGTAAAGATCATGGCATATGGAAGTTTATAACGTGGAATGTAAAAAAGGATTAAAGGACAATATATATATATATATATATATATATTGTATATATATATATATATACATACATACATACATACATACATACATACATACATACATACATAC